TTTGCCGTATCGCTGGCGGGACTGGTAAGACCGATTTCGGAAGCTGTTGTTTCACAGAGAGAGAGAGAGAAAGAAGGGGAAAAAGAGGAGGATGAGACGTGTGCAATTTTGTTGCACCAGTCGATTTTGTACACCATCGCGGCGGTTTCGTTCTCTCTCGAGTCGGTTGTAAATCAACCAAGGGGCAAAAAATTGCATGCTCATGCTAATGTCCGACGATTGCACCGCGCTCGTAAAAATGTCACGCTCGCCGTCGAGTCCGAATGATCTTTCAGCGAACTGCGCCGCACACGTGTCACGCCCGTTCGCTTTAAACCAGTTTATAAATTGTCGGTTTCTTTTCTCGCCTATCTTGCACCACGATCTCCCGGATTAACGCGTATTCCTCACACAGAAACTGCACAAAAAAAGAGAGAGAGAGAGAGAGAGAAAAAAAAGGGGGAAAGAAATGGTCGTGTCCTACCTCAATCGAGAGTTAAAAATAAAACGGAATTATCTATCGCAAAAAGATTACTACTTAATTTCTTGCATCTTCTTCGTCTCTTTTTTCCCCCCCTTTCATCTTCTCTTCTGAAATCGAAGCACGACAAGGACACCAGGAACTCGAGTCGTTTCGCTCGTCCTCGAGGCGAGTCCTCCAGCAGAATCGTGAATTTTTGCTCCGAGATGACAGTGGGCGTGCGTCGCTCGTCTACGATAGGTGGGATCTCTTCGCGCGACGGCAATGAGCTTAACAATGGCATTGCGGTACTGCTCGAATTTAATTTGAAAGCAGCCAGGTCCATTGTACGTGCACATACGTATAAATAGACGCGGTCGGTGCGCGCGTGCCCACGCAGCAGCTTTATGCCACCGTACCATCCCCGTCTACCTTCTCGCTCGTACCGAGTCGAATTTACATTTACAACCGCGTGTGTCTTCTAGAAAAAGAACGTATAAATTCTCGTTAAACGCGATTCTCTGGGAGTTTGGTCTGACGCTTCGGTTTTGCACCATCATTCGAGCAAAGAACTTTAACAGTAAATAGCGCTGACTGGCGAACACTTATTGCGCGCGATAATGGCACAGCGCTCTCGAGATAATACACAAGATGAATTTCTCCGAGTGAGAAATCATATCTTTCACACGATCTTTTACAAATTGTTGGAAAATCAGTAACGAGATGGCAGTGATTCTGTTTTTCAATTTTTTGCTTTCGAATCCTTTGGAAATCAGTGACGAGATGGTGACTGAAGCAGTTTCGCGCCAATTTTCTACGAATTGAACTTTTTTTTTATTCTTCGCTTCCGAATATTTTGGAAACGAGTGTCGAGATGGTGTTTGACGAAAGAAAGGAGAAAAATTTCGCGACAATTTCCGAGCTGACGGCTAGTAACGTAACACGATGACAAGCGGGAGAGGGAAGGGTGCCGGAGAGACGGCATTGTCGTTCAGGAACCGTTTTATTGCCGTTTGCGCCAGTCCAGAGGCGAGGATCTCGCCAGGCGAGGGACATTGTTCGAACCTCTGGGAGACTCTCATGATTGTCGTGCTTTCCATTCTCGTAATAGTGGCCCGTATTCAAATAACGTCGGTACACGTTTACGCATCGCGATCGTTGGGCAATCGGAAAAAAAAAGAGGAAGCGACCGTTCGCGCAACTCCGCTCCACTTGACACCGACGTGCCACATCCGATCCTCTCGAGCCGCTTTTTCTTTTATTACTGCACCATGATTTCCTCGTGAATTCGAGGCAGCATTATCGAAATTGCCACTTCGGCATCGAGACTATCATGAACATTCTTAGACGTTGCAATCGTTTATCAACCAGACAGTTCATCCGCTGAGGAACAAGCCACAGGAATCCGTGTTGCTCCTGAGCGATGCAAAGAATGTATATCGCTCGATACTCTGTGCAGAGAGTATACAGAGTGGCTCAAAAGATACATTACCGGTAGAAAGTTTCGAGAGAAAGATTAAGGAAATTGGAGAAATTCGTGAGATGAGATAAAGTGACCACCATTTTGGTACCGGTCTATTTAATTAATACCAATGTTCTGTAACTTTTTGTCTACCCTATATGCATACATCTATTGTCCGTAATTAATAATCCTTATTTTAAGCTATAAACTTTTTATTAGACACAAGGAAGGTTCGCTTTTCTACTTGATGGTAAGAGCACTGTCTACGGACTGAGAATGCTCCTACGCAACGCCCTAATATTGTCTACGACCCCGCTTGGGACCGAAGGGCCTTTTGTCACGTATCGTAAACATTTAGATCTTTACTAAACAGAGTATACAAAAGTAATATATACTTCCTAGTAAGGCGTTAGATTAATTTTTGTTGTATCTAACTGACTGATAAATCTAACAACATCAGAGTCCAAATTTTTGGAATCACTGTGCATAAAAATTTCCAGAAGAATGTTAGCAATTTTAATAATTTTTGAACGAAAAATCTCCGAAAAAATTTTCATCGATCTTCGCAACATCAATTTTCCTATTGACGTAAATTGGTAGGTGATTCGAAATTTTTTGCCGGTAGTGTACATACATCAAAGATACGTGTTGCAAATACGAGAGAAACTAGCAGCTCCAAAAACAGTCTCATCGTCACGGTTCTCCGGCTAACAATAAATCCGTCGATCGTTATAACGCCGCCCTCGATTCGAACATTATCGATACACGTAACGTACGAAGTATATAGATTCACGAGGAAAACTAAAAGGAAGAAAAGAGAAAAAAAAAGGAAAAATAGCACGACGGCCGTTGGTGAATTATTACGCAGATAGAGGAGACGCGGTCGCGAAGGAATCGCTAATGGCGGCTCGATCGAAAAGAAAGAAAATAATGGAGCAAACGGAGAGCACGGTAGAGAGGAAGAGAACGAACCGAAGGCCTATCCTATTGGTTTCGCGGCGAAGACCGTTAACGGTCTTGTCGGTCTATTTCGATCGGCGTGGCCCCTACAACAAAAATCGAGGCGCCTCGCCGCTGGCTTACCTGTTATCAATTAACTGTTAACGCTGCTGCACCCTCGGAACCGTAAGTGCTGCGTGCGCTATCGAAACCGGCCCTGTTTCTCTATGAATAATGTATCGTGGTTCGGGGAATTCGTGGCATTTAATCACTGGATCGTTAAGAACGTACTGACGACCGACTTGCAAAAGGGATTTATACACGGCACCCACCGATACTCCTCTAGCCTCGTCATGAGAATCCCCTCTACTCTGTTTCATCCTTTGATGTAAAGTAACGCGACACACAGAGAGACACACACAGACGTGTTAAATGTCGCTTTTTGAACGATTCTGATAACAGCGCGGACGATGATTCCTCGAGGAGGTTAGGAAGTAGCCTAAGATATAATAGACAGGGTGTCACATAAATTTCGTCACTCGAGAGGATCGTTCGTACACCGTGCTAATATATATGAACATTTTATTGGACAGAAAGATGGTTACGATGGACCGTAAGCGAAAATTCAGCGGATAATAAAGAATAAAATAAATTAACAGTTGGTAGCGTTAACGATCCGGAAGGATCATTGTGACTGTTTATTACCGTGGCGAGCAGCTGTTGGATTAGATACACGTGCGGTTAATGGCGGTGCATTTACGTAGAGAATAACCGGGGTGTGCGAATGGGATTTGATCGGTTAAGTGGGCACGCTTTGAATTGGTAAGTAGCCACGGGGACAAGATGATCGTTTAAGAGAGAAAAAAGAAAAGAAAAAATTATGCAACCTGAGCTTCTTTTCGATCGATACCTGATGCAACGCATTATGATTATGCAACCGGAGAGGTCTGTGTGTGTGTGTGCAAGTCAAAAATTTCTTCGAGCTAATTACACCTGTATCGACTCCCATTATTGAGCCAAACGTTATGCAATTATTTTGCAAAACGAGACGAAACAAAGCGACTTTTCGAATAGACGAACAGCGTGGATAAAGAATCACACGAATATATTCCTAGAAACGAATACAGCAACAGAGTATATCGGCTGGGATTATTGCACGATTCATCTGACCGATACTTATAAATTAGCTTTCGAACGGGCAAACGAATAAATCACTTTCCACGAATGAGAAATTCCACGAATTTTCGCGTAAATCGCCAGTCTCTGACGGGATCACCTTGCACGCGAGGTTATCTCGCGCGGTCGCGATCCCTCGAATGGGCGCAGCCCCTCGTCCCAGACCTCTCCGGAGGCGCGTAAATTTATGAACGAGGAAACGGCGGGGCTCGCGGCGGCGGGAACATAGCTTTCGCGGTGTCTCGTTGCCTGAGCGGCAGAACGAACCGTTCGGTGATATAAGGACGAGGCGTGGGCGACGCTTACTTTTCAAAGCGGATTCGCGAGCGAGCGAGCTAGCGAGCGACGACGACGACGACGATTCGAAACTGGTTCCAGAGTCGAGCGAATTAGACGAGCCGAGGTGAAACCCGCGTCGCCGCTCGTGCGTTACGGAAAACGATCTATGGACCTATTCGTTATCCGTCTTTTTATCCTCTATCCTCTGAGAGAGAACGGCTCTAGACGCTATAAATAAATTCTCATGTTGCAGGATTTAAAACCAGATTCAATTTAACTCTTTCACTATCGGACAGACGTTGTCGTAACGTAGAGTTTAGCGAACGGTTCGATGCTTGATTTTGCAGGAGGTCGGGAAGAGATCTACGGTTAACGAGAAGTATCTACAGGAGTACGAACCGTGGTTCGATTTTGCAGGAGGTCGGGAAGAGATCTACGGTTAACGAGAAGTATCTACAGGAGTACGAACCGAGATTTCATCGACGAAACGATGGATAGGTTGGCTAGTAGCTGTGCAAGGGAGTTAAACCTCTCAATCAATTTCAGAGTTACCTCCGTGACGTGTTTTCTTCTTCTTCTCTCTCTCTCTCTCTCTCTCCCGATTCACACGAGCGGCTTCATAAATATTCAGAGAAGCGACGGTCGAGGGCCCTTGGCACGCCAAGGGAACCAAGTCCGCGTACAAAGAAAAACAAATCGATTTACCTTATGCGTCATTCCACGACCTTGAAGCCGGGGGTAGCTGGCCGCTGCACTTCCGGTGAACGGTTTCTCACTTTCGTTCACCTGTTCCTTTTGTTTCCTCTCGATCACGCGTTCGCAAACGTGTTCACCACGATTCCACCGGGGACAGAGAGACACAGAGAGAGAGAGGGATAAAGAGAGGATGAGAGAGAGAGAGAGAGAGAATAAAAATAAAGAGTCAGTCAGTTGAAGGGAGGAAGAGTAGAAGAGGTAGAAGAAGAAGAGAAGCGAAAAGAGGAAATGGTAGGAAGCACTCTCTTCGTTTTCAACAACAGCACACTATCCTCACACTCGAGCACTCTTCTTCTTTCTTTCATCGATCTTCAGGAAGACTTTGGTTGTGTTCTATCCAGATCGAAACGTCCGATCAAACATCCTGATGTGGCCGTTTCTGTCAGGACCAAGGTTCGCGATGCGATTCCAGGAGCAAGCGTGCCTCGTGGCGGCGGCAGCGGCGGTGGCGACCACGTGTTCGACCGCGACAGATCGCGAAGCGCGCGATCCTTTACTTCCTTTCGTTTGCCGTGTCACGCGGTAAGTGTTCTCCGCGCGTTACTCAATATCATCACCACCAGGTAATAAACATAGAACACGCGAGAATTCTATTTATCTTCTTCTCGTTCTTGACTAGAGATCTCTCGTCACTGTCAATGCGAACAAACGAAAGAGAAAAGAAGAAAAAGGAACAAGTCCCTCTCGCAATTTCTTCAACGAGCAAAAAGAAGAAGAGGTGAAAGAAGAAGATAAATCGGAGCGACGACCGTGTTGATCTTCACCGTTGGTTCCTCGAGCCACCCTACGATCGATCGTCGTTGCACACGCTCGCGTGTGTGCGTGTGTGTGTCGTCGCGTTATCCTGTCAGGTGGTTTAACGAAAGGAGGTGTTTATGGTGTCCTTAGCGCGTGCGGTGTCGTCCGATCGATCGCGTGTCGTCGTGTCGACAGGACAGCCGCCGAGTCCTGACTGCTGGTCCCTCGGCCGCGAGAGAAGCACACGGAGGAACGGAAGAAGGAGTCAACAGCACGTTGCTCAGCACCGTCCGGCGATCGTTTGGTGCTCCTTGTCCAGGTCCTCTCTCGAGGCGTGTGATATCCCCCCCGTCGGGCTGGCTCGTGGACGAAGCGGAATATCAGCGAACGCTCTCAGAGGAGCACTCGTGAGACGCGACTCGCTGCGAGTGGCGGCTAAGCGAGGCGGGAACGGGGAGAGTCGCGGCGAGACGAGGCGCGGCAGGAGGACTCCACAGAGAGAGAACTGTGTGGATAGAGTGTGCACGGTGGTGAGTAAGCCGAGTGTATCGGTGAGTAAAGCTGCGTCGCGGGAGCAACAGAGGAGGGCAGAGACGCGAGGGAGACGCGACGCGGCGTGGTCGCGAACAGAGACGGAGTTGAAACGGAGCAGCAGCCAGGGGGAGAAAAAGGTGATCGACGAGCAGCGGATTGGAGTGAAAGAGATGAAAGTAGACCATCCAGTCGGTGGAACAGAGATTGCGTCTGAAGAGGTGAAAGAGAGAGAGAGAGAGAGAGAGAGACGTGGCGAGGTTGGTTGAGGAGAACGCACAAACACACAGAGAGAGAATGGTACCCGTGGTGGACTGGGCGGGGAGACTGAACCCGTAGGTTGGCGGGTAGGTTGGTAAGTAGGTAGGTAGGTAGGTAGGTGAACCACGAGGTACACACGGTGGACGTTCGCCTGGTTGTGTCGTTGGATGTGTAGTCTGGGTGGATCGTCGGTGCGCTCCAGGTAGGAAGGTGTGTGCGCGCGGATAGCGTTCGGATAGCTCGAGGAGCTCCCCTGCGTGTTAACCGTGAGAGACGTCGGGAAGGTAAGTGCTCTCCTCTCTTTCAGCCAGCAACGGAGAGTAGCAGCACCACGCCGGCACGCGACCTGCCCTCTCCCACCCCGTCTTTCGTCTCTCACGATCTGCAGTCCTCCTCTCCCGCTGCTTCGATCCTTCGCGTCTTCTTCCTTTTGCCATAGCGGCTGCCAGGTCTCTCCTTCTAACGTGCTTACCGATCGTTTCCTCTACTAGCTTCCTCCTCCACCTTCTCCTTCCCTCTCTTCAGCCACGCCAAGGGATTACCACCGAGAGAGCGATAGAGAGAGAGAGACGAAGACGCTTTCCACTGTGGCTAGACCTAGTGTTGGTGCACCACTCCTACCCAGTGGACACCGACACACCGGAATCCTCCCACCAGTCTGGTGTGTCTACTGGAGAGGAAAGAAAGAGAGAACGCTCGCTATCACTTCTCTGTCGTTAATCGCGGTGTAACCTCCTGCTCGGCTAATTCACCTTTGCAACTGTACCGACACCCCATTGGGAACCGCTTCACGGATCACTCCTATTTTTCTCTTTTCTTCGGGATCCTCCTCTCTGCCCCATTCATTACACATCCAGGAGTTTCATTGATTACGAAACATTTCGTTATTAATTTCCGAGTGTTCAATTGCTTTTACAACGATGTATAACGGGAAACATTTATCACACTCTTATTTACAGATTCGATCCAGTTACTGCACGTGCGCCTTTGTCTCGAATTTATCTACCAGTTTCTCCGATAGATTGTTTCAATAGTGCGTCAACGTTACCACCACCTCCTTCTCCTCCTCCCCTTGGAGGTCCTTACCAGTCCCCACCATGTCACTCTCGTTTCGTTCCTCGTTTCTGGGCCACTAATTCACCACTGCAACTGTATCGTTGCCCCACCATCGGGCCCTTGGCCGCCGGTTCTCGGCTCTCCGCGATGACGATTCGGTTGCCCTAGGACCGGGCCAAGCTCGTTACGGTTTCGTTAACGGTCCCCTACTACCGAATCGTTTCTGCCTCTGCTGCTCGTGATCCTCTCCGATCGATTGTTATCTCTACTTTTTCTTTTTTCGACCAGCAGAAGCTACTTTCAGTCTCTGTAGATCACGCCGAATCAATTGTACGTTCACGTCGGTTATTCGCCTGATCCAGTTTCTTTTTCCTGTTATACCAGTGCGGTTTTTAGGCACCAGGAAGTTAGACTAGAACGCGCGTGGGTCAGTGAATATTACGGGATTTTCGTGCTGTCATTGAACCATGAAACGTTCAACAGTTCTCCGTGTCTAAAATGAAATTCTACTCTATCAACCGGTTCGCTTTTGTCGCCATCGAAACGCGAGAGACTCTTTTAATTAGCGAAGGTTCAAAGCGGATCGGTCGGTGATCGTTGCATCGCGCCAATTACTCATCCTTGCGCCGCCATATTTGGAGGAAACTTTATCCAAGTTCTGGCTTTCTGGGTCAATCTCTGGTTAGCTTCTTAGCTTTAGGTTGCTCGAGACCGGCCGAGAAACTAAGCACGACGAGTAAATCGAGGAGGCAGTGTAGGTATATACACGCCTCGAGACCTTAGATCATCGGATCCTCGTGGATCTGCTTGCTCCGCCTTGTTGCGCAACGATCACCGCCGTCGGTGATCTCGGGCACAGCAGTCCTGACACAGTTACCTGGTCAGAGCGTTACGGACAGATTAAAGAAATGAAAAAAGAAGCCGAGCAACGTGAACCAATCTCGAAGACCCTTTCCCCCTCTTCGTCGTCTTCGCCGCTTTACGACTTTTTTGCAACCTTTCGATCGAACGAACGAAGAGACAGTCTCGGTTTCTTCGTTACGTTTCTCTCTGGTATAAAATCTGTTACATCTTGTATAATAATTTGTCAAATAAACGACATAAACTCGTTACAATTTCTTTCCCTGATCCTTCCACGATCTAGCTGTAACAGTCGCGCGATTATCGCAGATTATCGCTACGATCTTCGTAAGTTTTTTGATTTGTTGCGCAAGAGAAGGGCGCGGAATTGGCGCGTGTTGGTGTCAATCGAAGATCGTAGATCATGATATTTCAGGCTGGCAAAGGTGGGTCGGAATTCGCGGCCACGTCGCGACGGATTCGTCCCTCTCGCATTCTATTCTGTACGATGACACTTCCCGCGGGGTTGACGCGACACGGGACGCACGCGTGCTCGCGGTGAGAACCCATCATTACACGCCTACGCGCGCGAGGCGCTCGCGACACGCCGTTGTCGCGACGAGTGTCCCACGACGAGCAGAATCGAGGTGGCCAGCGCCGTGGTAAAACACCTTGACGATGCAGAAAACCGGAAGCAGACACTCGTGTACGCAACACGCCAAGAGATCTTACTGGGAAGCTTCGACTTTTCCCCTTTAGAATTACTTCTTCGACGGTAAATTCGCGAAATCAACGCCGGTGGGTCCTCCGAGTAAGGCAAGAACACCCCGGAGCGACATTACAAATTCTAACGAAACTTGGATCGTAATTGGGTCGGTATGGTGGCGAACAAACCCAAGTATTCCCGTGCTTCGTGCATCTGAAATGCTCGGTATTGGCAATCGTCGATATCGTAACACCTCTCCTCGAGTTTCAAGCGTCGATGTGTCCAAGAGATCCTCTTTATAGTCGATCGTCGAATCCCGCTAGCGTTGTTGCGCGTTTCGCGGCACCTTGAGCGAAACTCTCGCTCTAAATCTTCCTTTAACGGCCAGGTTAGTTAACCGTGTCGATCCCGATCCGGTCCACGTTCTGGGACCCATGGTCCGGCTGCACGACTTGGACGCTTTCGTCGATCCTATGGATCGTTGCGAAAAGGTACCGCGAGTTACGTGCAAAAAATCGAGGCCAATTCAGTTGCGAAGGGTGGATAATTAACGAACAGGATCAATTTTTGGCGTTCGCTGACTAATCACAGTGTTTCATTTTCGTTTGGAGTAACTAATCTATCGCGGATTCACACTCGATCTCTCTGAAGCGTAAGAGTAATTGGCGATGCGCAGCGGTGCCGTCGACGTATGACGGAAGGGGCAAAATGACTACCGTTCCGATTCGATTGGTCAGTGCGACGTTACATTTTCAGTGGGAGGAGCGGCTCGACTGCATATGGTCGCGCATAATGCATGCCTACGTAGCTGTCAGCGAGATGAACATCTACCAGCCGCGTCGTTACACCTCTGGCTCGTGCTCGCTCGGAATCATCCTCGATAGCGATCTCTCTCGGGTGTGTTGTCTCGAAAGAAAAATGAACCAGAAGTT